ACGACGGTCGGGCAGGGGCAGCCCGCAGTCCCGAGCCTGCTGTCCGTCCTTCGGCTCTGTAACCTCTTGCAGGGGTGAGGACGCTGCTGGGCCCTCCACAGGGCTGATCCCGAGTGGCAGCGTCCCCGCTATGTGACGGGCGTGGGTTTGCGTGCGCCCGCGTGGCGTGGCTGGCGGGGGCGCTCAGCTTCCGACGGGAATAATGTGCCGGGCTGAGCTCGGTGACTCGTGTGGCCCTGTGTGGTGCCACTGGGCGCGTCTCGACGTGGGGCAGGGGACACTCCCGCCACAGAGCTGCTTCCCACCCAGCTTCTTTGCCGGACCCGCGCCTCCCAGAGCCTTGGCGCCAGCCAGCTGCCTTTGTCCGTCTTAAACCTCTACTCTGTGCTATATGAAATCCACGAAGCCACTGAGGCTATACCAACGCATCTTTGGAGTGGACTGAAGAGTATTAGGGCCAAAAACTCTATGCAAGGTGGGATGATATCAAAAACTCCCATGATGCAAACTCTTCCAGAGTTTCCTGCCTTTATCTCAAGAAGGATGAAAAATACAAAAGCTTATGTTTCTGGTAGTGAAGACCTACTGCTTCAGCTGCCCTCAAGGCTAGAATTCCTAGAACTGAAGACTGGGAGGTATGGTATTGGCAAGCAGTCTAAAGACAAACTATTTAGAGCAAAGGCTTCTAGCTGCTACCCCCTCCTGGCCGTGGTCTTGGGCCAGGACTGGCCGGACCACTTCCTCCAGTTAGGTCTGGCCGATGTCCCCCAGGGTGATGCAAGGCGAGGACCAATCTGGCTGCGACGGGCAGCGACAGACTTGGCTCTCAGGGGCCTCACCTGCACCTGAGAGGTCCTGCGGAAGCGGGGAAACCAGGCCACGCGTCCCTGCCCGACTTGGGCGACTTCCCAGAGTTTGGGGTACCGGTTAACCTGGGACCTGCAGACTACTCACTGCTCTGGGCCGCGGTTTCGAGGATAGAGTTTGTCCACTTGGGAGGCAGGGGACGGCAAAAGTGAGGCGCGAGTCTTCAACGTGCGTGTGCACGGACACGCGCAGCAGGAGACAGGGGTGCAGGTGTCTGGGATCGAAGGACCATGAACTGGCATTCTGCTGAGTGGCTAGAGGGGGTAAAGTTCAGGAAAGACCCTCTAGCACCGGCCCACCTGGGACAGAGGGGCGGGGCTGGTCCGCCAGCGCTCACCAGGAAGTTGATTTGCCTTAGGATCCTCTGGAGCAGCTTTGGGAAAACAGTTTGGGCGCCAGCTGAGCCTCCCCAGACCCTCCCATGTCCCAGCCCTATGAGCTACCTGGCCTGGTCTGTCATCCTCGGCACCTCCAAATCCCCTTTTGCTCTTCTGACCTGCAGCTTCCCCTTAGCCTATGTAAGCTGTCGCTCTGTTCCTGTTCCCCACTCCTCTCTTCTACAGATGGGCACCCTGAAGTCCAGTGGTGCATTTTCACCCAAGGTCAGGTGGCTGCTGGTGGCAGGGCTGACATGGGGCTCTGGGACTTAGGAGGAGCACACCCAGATCTACTCCTTAGAAGACCATGCCACTGCTACTGGCTATAGAACCATGTGTAAGGAGGAAGGCCACAGAGACACTCCAGGGCCTCCAGCCCTCCACTGGGCTCTTGCTTTGAATACAAGATGTACAGGAAGTGCTCTAGCTTTGTCTCTAGGGCATACAGGTGTAGGTCCGCAGGAGCCGCTGCTTCCCAGTTACACAGCAGCAAGGTAATAGTTTCAAAGCTAGCCTGGGAGTTTGAAGGGGTACAGCACAAGGGTCAGTGGGCGGAATCCCACGGGAGCCCAGGACAGAGTTCAGTGCAAATTTGGGCCCTTCTAAGGGAACTGGTTGGGGTGTGAAGCAGCCAGGAATAGAGGGGCCAGACTTGTCGTTGGCATAACAGGGACCCAAGAGCATTCTCAGGTACCTTCTAGTTTACAAAGTCTCTGATCTTCCAAAATGAAAAATTAGCCAGGAGAAACTAGCCCCAGTTGTGGCTGTTGGCCTGGCCTCCAGGCCTGCAGGGGAGCTGGCCCCTGTGGTGCCTGTGTCTGAACCTGCCTGGGAACCACTGACCCTCTTCCCACATCAAGCTTTTGAGTTGCCAGCCCAGCTCCCACCAGCTTCCGCAGATCATGAAGATACTTTCCTCCATCAGACTGAGAGGGAGTCCACAGTACTTTGCCCATTGAGCAGGTAGTGCTTTGAGAATCGGGGAGGTCGCTTGGCTCCCTCAAGGTCACCAGGTCCGGCCACATTTAGATTCATGTTCGGATGACCTTCTAGGTAATGCTATGAGGTCTGCTTGGGTGTGGGTGGAGGTGGATACTGTCCTGGATCTTATCTGTGGGGGACAGGGCCAGTGGGCCTGCCTGCCTGGGGGCCCAGCTCTCACTTCCAGCTGATTACAGGTTATGGCAGGGTCTATAACCTTCCCAATTAGCCTGGGGCCAGACCCAGGGCCTTTCTGATAACCTGAGTTCTAGTGGCAGCCGCCCTGGGGCCAGCTTATCTGAGCTCTCTGATCCTCACCCTTCCCCCACATACTGAAAGAAGTGCCCTGACTGCTGAGCAGATGAATAACCAGATTGTCCTGCAAGCTCAGCCAGTAAGTCCAGCCCTACACCCACCACTTTCCCTGACTGGAGGAGGCCACAGCTGTTTTACCCCCACTGGAGTGGAAAGGCTGGCCTGGGGAGGACGCCTGACTCTAAGCTGCCCATGGGTTCCCTGCGAGGGGCTCATGCTCCCTGGAGCTTCTGGACCCATCCCAGGGGAGCCCAGCCACATACAAAATGTGCAGGCAGCCTGGTGGCACCCCCCCCTTGTCCCTTTTTGACTGAAATGCCGCCCTGGCTGGGGGTAAGGGCAGTTCACAGGCATTCAGGAATTCCAGTGTAGCCAAAATGGGGACAAGATGCTGCTCCTGTGGCCATTGTCACCAGCTGGCCCACCTTGTGTTTCCCACATTCCTCACTGTGGCACGGGCACCCTTCCCCCCACATGCCCAACAAACCCCGTGGAGGAGACTGAAGACTAAATCTCTTCTCAGGCAGCAGGGGTGGGATGCTGGGCGTGAAGGGCCCAGCTGATGGCCTCGCTGTCTTCGAACTCAAGCCCTCTTTGGCTGTTCCATTAAACTTCACCCCAAACCACAGCTTTTGGCTCAGTGGGTTTCCTTCAATCCTCCAAGGCCTCCTGGGGTATCTGGAGTATGGGCCAGGGAACAGGAGACTAGGACCACTGTTAATCTCCTTTCTGTTGAACACACTCTTTTGCTCTCCTACTCATGTCTTTGTTGCCATTCACTTAGGTCCAGACTGGGAGGAGGGAAGAGCAAAATCAGGAACGTGTCACCTGGGGTGCCAGCCATGTTCCGTGACACAGTCACTTTCATCTGACTGCCCTCGAACCTTCTGAGCTGGAAGAGGCAATTCCAAGGTGCCCTAAAGGTGAGGCCAGGGCATTGGTCAAGTTCTCTTCCCACAGGAACCCACCAGACCTCGGGTGCCAGACATCATGGCCCCCAGCAGGGAGAGTCCAAGCCCAGCAACCCCAGACTTCACCTGCTCTGGTAATGGGCAAGCAGCTTGGCAGATGGACTTAAATCAGGCCTCACCCAAACCAGAGAGCAAAGATTCTCCCTGCCTTTCCTACTTCCCCCTCTCCAGCTCCCCCTGTGTGTTGCACGTGTTGGGGTATGCTGGGAGCTGGGGCCCGTGGTCAGGCCCACAGGACTCTGCTTGGTGTTTGGAGAGGACTCTGACCCCAGCAACTCAGGGATGGACACCAATTGCAGCGTGATTTATTGGACAAGACGTGCACTTTTCAACAGGGCCTCAGTAACCAGTTTCCTTCACTGAACAGTACAAGACCAGGGTAAAAGGGCTTAAAAATAAGAAATACAAATTCTTCCCATGAGCCATTGGGGAAAGCAAGGAGGAAGGGGAAGAAGGTTTCCTTTTCTTCCTCCCTCCTTCCCTGACATTCTGGGCCTCAGTTCACTCCATGCTGGAGAGGGGCTAAACAAGGGAAGCTGGGGGCAGTGTGTATCACAGCCTGGAGTGGGCTGGGGCTGAGACTATCCATTCAGGGCCAAAGTGCCTGGTGGGACCATCTGCCCTGTCTCCACCTAGGCTCCAAGATCTGGTCACTGTTCTAGGCCCCCTGTGAGGAAGGTCAGAAAATACAAAAGCAGGTCCAATGCTGGACATCATGTGCAAACAGAGGAGGGGACTGAGCTGCTGCAGTCTCTCTTGGCCACAGCCCCCACTGACAGCAGCAGAGGTCAGGGTGTCTCGAGGTCAGGTGCTTCGGAGCAGGGCCTCTTCTCGATCCAGGTAGGATGGGTGGCTGTTGTCACTAAGCTTGGGGAAGGTGGTTGATGAAAGAGGAGCAGAGATTGAGGGTAGGGCTGGAGGGGGGCTTCTCCTCCCTCCAGCAGGTGTGGGCCAAGCCAGTTGGAAGCAGGTAGCTGGCACCTATGGGAAGCCGGTGGGGAAGAGGCTGAGGGGCTGGCTCTCGTTGGTGGGGAGCGGAGATCGGTAGCCATCAAAGTTTCTTGGTATGCTGCCGCTGGTGGAGCCTGAGCTATTACTCAGAGTCTCGATGCTTCCCTCTCGCTGAAGCTCTGCAAGACAGAAGAGAGGGCCAGGCCTAGTCAAAGTGGGGCTGGAGCAGGCTGCTTACTGTGAGACACATTTCTGGGTCCATTTACACCCTTTTGCATCCTGACCAGATGGCAGCTCAGGTCACAGGGAGGCTCAGTTGGGGGAGGGAGAGGCCCCCCTGGCTGGCAGACTTGAGTGTTAGACCTTGGTCTTTCCCTCACTGTGGGGAAATCCCTGAGGCAGGAAGTACGGCCTCCTTGATGATCTGTCCACAGACACAGGTATTCATAGGGTGCAGTGCCTGCATACCTAGAGTGTTCAGCGAGGCAGAGTGTCCTCCTAACTCTGGTGTCCAGTTTTGGATCTGTAGGTGAGGCGGCGGGGGCGGGGGGAGCCGGGACAGGGGAACCAGCGCAGCTCCAGTGCCTGACCAGTCCCCATCCCCTTCTGCTGCCCCACCTGGCCCTGTGCTAAGCTCCAGGAGAGCCACTCACTCACTCATTCTCGCCACACAGCTGGCGTGCTGGCCAAGAGTTGGCTTATCCTTGGAATACTAGGAAGTACTGGAATACTAGGAATACTAGGAAGTTTTCTGTTTCGTGTGGTGCCTACTCCATGGAGAGAGGTCCCCTACTTGCCTGAGTGTTTCCTTTCTCCCTTCCCCTTTTCCCCCCAAGTCTCCCGGAGCCACCTCAGAATGAATATGCTCAGACTTAACCTATAAGGCAGGCGGGAAGCACCTCTTTCCTCTCCTGCCCCGGGCTGTGCACATCCACACTGCCATTTTGGATATGGCAGCTATGGGCACCTTAACTGTCTCTTTACTCAGGCAGGAATGGGGCAGAGGGTTGGGAAGAGGATTCTCTGCTCGCTGAATCCAAGGAGGAAGGGAGCCCTTCTTGGCTTTGTGAAGGTGATCAGGCCCCATTCCCTGTCAGCCCCTCACCATGGCTCTGAGATGTGGATGCACATGTGCCTGGCAGTCTCTTCCCAAGCCAAGATGTAACCTACAGTGTAGCCTTCCCCAGCATATTCCTGTGACTGTGGCAGGGTGGCAGGTGTGTGTGTGTGTGTGTGTGTGTGTGTGTGTTTCTCTCTCACTCGAGAGTG